TAGATAAAGTATGCTGACACCTATGCATCGGAGTTCAGCTCATAAAAATGTTAATTATTCACGAGCTGGGACAATTTATAATCTATTATAATTACTCAAAACGATTACTGGGATTTTGTGCCTTCATGTGCACGCACAAAAACATATGCGCATCCACTAATATGTAGAGAAGGAGTGACATGAGTATCAATTAATCACATCATTCTATGCTTCGAATTATACATTTTTATATAAATATGACAATCGTCGAGCCACCGATTAAGTTTTTATTACTCGTTTCAAGCTCGAGGCCCTGATCAGAATGAGACCTATATTTGATGATGTCCGTGAGATGAAAGGATTTACGAAAGCTCAGCAGTTTTTTACAGGAAACTAAAGAGAGTTTCTCGACGACCTCATCATTACGAGGATCGAGGCGAAATTAAACAAAAGCAAATCGCGAGGAATCCGCCATAACCCTTTAGGGAGGCCAAACAAAAAATTTTTATCGCACACTTTAAGTTAAAGTAAGTTTGGCTAAAGAGCACAATGTCATTATAGTTATTGAAACCAGTTACTTTACGCCCTTACACAGGGTTAAACCTTTCTGATTTGTTCTATATCACCAATGGTATTGCGGAAAAGTTATGCTTCTTGTATGTAAACCTTCACTATGATGCCGGAAAATATTTCCTTAATAATAAAACCAACCTGCATATTAACTCAATTGCCAAAAATAGTCGTAATTGTATATATTTTTCTGCTCGACCTGTCGTCAGCGCCGGCAACAGAACATTTCAGAATAGGCGCCAAATCTTTTGCTTGCTCAAGCTGTCCGAATTGTCCGAAATGAGACAATTCGTTTGATCAGAGTGGAAGTTGAAAAATAAACGCTGGAACATCTTCGCCGAAGTTCTGAGCCAACTGGGGTTAAAGGTAGCAGTACATGAATCTAGGGGCTGTGTTGGCACGTTGGCCAATCTGAAGAGCCTGTGGCTTTCGAATAAAATAGCCAAGACAGATTTGCTTAGCCAGAATCAGGAGCCTCAGCTCCTCGATATCGTCCAACTTAGTACTGTGATAGAATAGTTTAAGTTAGGCAGTTTAAATTCCTTAAAATTTTGTGCAGATAATTCTGATAGGCAGAATTTATCAACATGAAACCATGTATGAAGTTTGAAAAAGATATGTTGTAAATTTATACAAAATGTATGTTAGACTATTCTCTTACTGATTGAGTCTAAATTGACTGAAGGTCTGGAGCCAATCTGGCTTGCAAAAGTTGCTATTTTCCTGCCCATCTTTCACTTTGTTACAAAAATAAAGAAAATCGGTTCAGTCAGATCACGCGACAGGTTGTACAATGTATGATGGACGAGGCTTGGCCAAACTTTAGCAATCTGCAGACCCGCTTGGCTTGAGTCGCCGCGTATCATGAGGCAAATTTTGCAGGGTCTCTTCTATTCTCTCCATCTGCTGGATAATGCCTGAGAGCATGTACTTGAGCTGGACTCCAGTTTGGTGTACATCAACGATGCCGATCGCATTTTCGGCAACTCGGCGTTGCTCTGCCTTCAGTCTTCGGAATCTGCGAACTACCTGTGGATAGAAAATATACAGCTTCAGAAGAGAGCTTTCACCTTTTACCTCTGATAAAAGCCAATATATGGTCTTTCCTTGAATTAACCTATTCTCGTTCTGTTTCTATTACATATATTTCCTTTTCCTCCCCCCGACTTTCTTCTACCTGATCTATCAAATTAGTTTGTTTTGAAGATATCATCTGATCTCGAACTATATCTTGGACCAACCCAGACTATTTAAGAAGTGACAGTTGAGTTTCTCTCACGATACAATGCCACTTTACTTAGACTGTCGGCTTCAAATCCCGTTGAGAGAGCTGGAGAGAATCAGACGAGGTCAAAACTGCAGCCCAGTCTGGATGATGAAATCTCTCTGGAGGCAAGTCACTGTCTTTATGGGGCTCACACATTTCATTTTTGAAAAGTTTCACCCAATCCTAAGAATGACTTAAGTTCTTTTTATTCCATCCGGTATTTATATCAGTGACTCTGTACACTAACAGCAGCAATAGGTCCATGCATGGAGGACCTTAGTGACCTCTCACTGCGTATTCCATAAGGCCTAAACGTTGCTTGTAAACGGCTAAATTTGCTTTTAAAGATACCTTCCCGATATCGTTTTAAATGCATTATTTAATCACAGGCCAGCAGGGTTCGGGGTAGGCTAGTAATAAACTGAGATATATCATGCTGGGGAAAGTTAATTACTTGTGAAACGATCAGTAATGCTCGAATGAAAGTTAATTTAGCCTGGGTCTCTTAAAGTGATCTGAGAGCGAATAGTTGAGTTTTTCTGGGACGAGATGACTGGGCCTCACGATGCCAATAAATTTCACTTATCCCAGCCTGCCAAAAGGCAATCCCATCCAGGATCTATTGGACTTTCGAACTAGCCCAAAGTTGGTTTTCATATGTTCATGACTTTTTATTTCTTCATTCATATGTAATCAATCACTATTTGATGAACACTGATCCATAATTGACTTAATCTCTCTGTCATTTTTGTCTAGAAATGTTCTCAATTATATTTTTATTTATTTTTGACACAAATCTAGATTCTAATTCATTTCATTGAGTCTTGGCACACAAAAGGCTATCCCATCCAGGACTGCAGTTTCGACCTCGCCTAGGTCTCATCAACACCATCAGAATATTTTGATTCCTAGTCGTTAGTAAGGTGGCGACGTCACCAATCTACATACAACCAAAGGTTTCAATGGATCAGTGTACTTAAATCACTGTAAGCGACCTTAGATTACAGGTGGCTTTAAAAACTACTTATGCTGAAAATAGGTTATGTCGTCGATTGCAGTGGCAAATACATCTTGGCTGAACCAGCAATCCTATTAGAAAATGTGAGTTGCAAGGTCCATGGCTTGTCTTGAATGTCGCATCTGTCCTGTAACCTATTGGCAACCACGACCGTGTACTTGAGTGAAGTGGTGAAATCTTCACGATACTACAACCCGGCATTGAATCCCCCTGAATTTACTGATTAGACCTAGGCAAGTCCGAAACTGGAGTATATCCTAGATGATAAAACCTATTTGGAGGCAAGGCTCAGTTTAATTCAATGATATCCGAATGAATGTATATCTACTTATGAAAAACCTCATATATTACATTTAAAATCACCTTAAGCGACTTATGCTAACTAAGATATTATTCAAAAATCAATTAAAATATAATAGAGGAGATATCTAGTTTAAAGAATAATAGGGATAGGATACAGATGATAAAAGAAATAAATAGGTTAGGAGCAAAGAAAAACTCGCAAGTTGAATTTAATTCCCTTTGGAGTAAAAGTGTGTGAAAAAGAGATTCAATGACCGATAGAGCAAGAAGAAAAGTAAGGACACCTCTTAACAACTTGTCGATTCGATTTACTGGAAGATTCTTTTTGACGCCTTCCCAGAGGAAATTTTATTCAAGGACCTTGAAAACGTGCTCAGCTATCAAGTAATGAAATAAATCGGATCAGAAAATAATTTTTACAAGCAGCAAGTAAAGAAATCACCAAAGCTTGAATCAACATTATGTAAATAAAAGAAATAAAAAATCACTTTATAAGGTAAAAAGTGAGTTTGTTTGAGAAAATTATAAGAAAATCAGAAAACTATAGAAATGCATAACGTGAAAAGTAAAATGCCCTAAAATATAGGTATATGAAGTAAATTTTTTTTTAAATGAGGTGAATAGGAAATAAGTTAAAAAAATATGGATACCAAATTGAATAGAAAAAGCGTAAATAGAATAAGAAAAAAAGGTAATAAGGTAAAAGGGAGAAGAATAATTGAGGAAATAAATTTAAGAAAAAAAATTCAATTAGGAAATGCGATGAAAAGATAAGGCAAAAAGATTGAAATAATATTAGAAAGAAGAAAAAATAAACAATAAGGAGAAGGAGAATGAAGAGGTAAAGGTAATGAAAGAATTTGAGAAAAGAAAATTTTAAAAGAGTAAAAGGCTAAAAGAAGAAGCGATGAAATAAAATCAAATGAGATGAGATGAGTTGAGATAAGATGAGATGAGATGAGATAAGATGAGATGAGATGAGATGAGATGAG